ATAATTATCTTAGCACCTATCATAATAATCAGCAAAATTTAAATTTGATAACATATCAAATTAAAGAAAAGTTAGATAAATATTGGCCAATTATGCAAGAAACAACTAAGATTGCTGCTTTTTTTGATCTGCATTTTAAAAGAATAGTTTATCATGAACAATCAGTAGATGAAATATTAATTCTAATTCACACAAATCTTTCAACAAACTCAAATACTATCACTCAACCTTCTTTTATATTAAAATGGTATCAATTTATTCAAGAATATGCTAGTACATATATGTCAATTACAGATTCAGATTCTGATGAGCTTATTCAATATTGGGAAACAATTGCACCACCTGAAGAAATTTTTGTTTGTGATTGGTGGAAAGCTAATCAATCAATATTTTCAAATCTAGCATTGATGGCTAAAGATTATTTGTCTATTATGGCAATGAGCATTCCATGTGAGCAACTATTTAGTTTGGCAGGGCTAACAGTTACTAAAACACGAAACTCTCTTGATAATAATAATGTTCGGGCAATATTATGTTTAAAATCTTGGTTTACTGAAAATTTATAATTTTTTTTTAAACTAAATACAAATCTTATTTTTTTTTTCCTGTTATCAGGTTTTTTTTATGCATGAATCATATTGCATATATTGTAGATTTGTTATTATTTTACTCAAATTTATATATATCTTTTTTATTTAGTATTTATTAAGTAAGGGTTTATACAATTAACTCTTTCCATAAATCCTTTTTATACAAAAAATAACTAAAAATTCGTCAGTACTAAAATCGTCAATACCTGGTTATTTTATTAAGATAACCAACTTTGGTGTCTTAAGTAAACTTGCTCAACTCCTAATTTTACATATACTCTGAAAGTTTCATGTCTATAACTTTTGACTCGCAGTTTAACACTACCAAAATGGCCTTTGGCCTTCACTACTAAACTTTTAACTATTTCTTATAAAGTATTTTATTAACCTACTCTACAGTCATAAGAAAAGTTATAAAGCACTTCTTTCCGATCAAAACAAGTCCAAAAGAAGCTTGTAGCCCTAAAATTGATGGAATTATAATAGAAAACAACTTTAACTCCTCTGTAGTTTTTTTTTCTTTTTTTTTTCTTTTTTTGTTTTTACCTTCAAATTTTTTTTTCAAACCTTTTTTCGTGTAATCTTAAATTATTTCTAAAATTGGTTTTATTTAATTTTACATTGTATAAATTAAATTTATCTAAAAAAGAAATTTATTTGTTACAATTTATCTTGTACTAACTTGCTAAAAATAAATTTTGTACTTAATTACACAATAGTTACTGTAACATTCAACTATTTATAAATTTGTACTATATTAGCTATACTAGCCGCACCAGCCACACCAGCCACAAACTTGTGTTACCTAGGTTACACAAGTTTACACAAGCCGCAGCAGCCACAGTAGACATAGTAAAACCCCTGCAAATACAAACTATATCCTGCATTAATCTTATATTATAATTAAATTTCTAAAAAATCTTTAATTAAAGATTACAAAAAATTTTACTAAGTAACTTAAACTTGGACTTCTAAGTAAACTTATAGTACTATGCCTACCCTTAGTACAGAAACATCAGATACCTTAGACCTTGATTATTTCTTCAATAATTATGCAAGCTCTTATGGCATCACCATTTATAAAAATGAACCTGTATAAGTAAGAGCTATTCTGGATAAATATAGACTTACCAAATATATTACCATAGAACTTAGATCTCATTCACCAACTCATTTTTTTCCTGCTCCTGCAACATGTATGGATTATTCTACACTAAATTTATTGCAGAAAACAATAAAACTTATGAACTTATCAGCAAAACTGATAAAATAACAACCAACAAACAAGCCAAAAAGCTTCAAGAAGCACTTGCAGAATCTAAATCTCAAGTTCCATCGTCTTCTACAGCTACTATTCACACACACACCTGTCCCAAATGCCAAATCCCCATTAACTGTAAAGTGACCAACAATAATCATGTATTACAAAATGAATCTACCTTTTATCAAAATATAGCATATTATAATAATTGCTTAGCTGAAATTTATAAAGAAATAATCTTAGCTAATCAACCAAAACCCCAACCTACTGAAAACCCTAAACAAGATCCATCTTTATAATATAAACTTCCAACTCAATAGCTTGTTACTTCTTTACTTAACCAAAATTCAAACAACTATCTTGTTTCAGAACTTGTATCTACTTCACCTAATCTTGAAGAAACAACCTCTACTAACAATGGTATGGATATTGACAGCTCTATTACACCACCTCAACTACAACAACAACCACAAATCCAACAAACACAACAATCAGAACAACAACAACCTGTACATCAAGCTTCACCACCTTTACACAAACAACAGTCTAACAAAAAACCAATCCAACAACCTCAACTGACTCAATCTTATAGCCATATAACAAGACCTAAACTCAACCCATTATATGACTTCTTGGCAAACTTTCCAGTTACTGATAAAATGCAAAATCATACAAAATTACAAACAGAACTGTCTTGAAAACTCTTTAATTTTCTCAAAAAACATCTTCATAACTTTTATCCTAGCAAAGTTATTAAAGAAGCAGTGAGAAAATGAGATCCACTTAAAGCAAGCTTTTATCTATTAATTAGACAAATGGCTGGTGCTAGACCTCAATTTTTTATTAATTTAATTCAATAACATAACTCTGATAATAATAAAGCTGCTATAATACTATTTAACATTCTTGAAAAAACATTTAAAAAACTTATTTTTACATTCATAATAGTTCTTTTTACTAAACTTAACTATCCAGAAATATTCGTCTCTCCAGTCACCATCTCACCTATCCAAACCCATAACCGATTACAATTTTGTATTAATCTTGCCTGACTTTACTTATATCTCTCTGATAACTATCAAGCAATTAATTACACTAAATTC